AAAGGAATATGGAGACATGCAACCTAGCAGCAGGAAGCAAGACTCTTCAATACTATCCTCATAAGCCATAACCTCTATGAGAAAAATTATACAGAATTTTTAGATGAAGCAATAGGTCTTTCTCATCAATTTTAGAGAGAAAGGTACACATTTTAAACAGCAGTTGAAAAAGAATGTATAGTACTGTTTGTTAAATGATATATACTTATTTGAATAACTCTTTTAAAAATTTAGTTTTTTGCAACTGGTAAATTCTAGATAATTTCTCTTTTAACAAGGCAATCCTTCTGGTTCAATCACTGTTACAATCTGTAATCTACAGGGTTTTAATACATATGGAAAGTGTTAGGATTAGCAGAAATCTGATAACAGCAGAAAAGTTTATTTTGAATCCGTATCTTAAGACTTATTTTCTAAGGAAGAGAAAAGAAAACTGTCTGAGATTTTCTGGCATTTAGTGTGGTCTGCTCAGGTCTTCTGTTTTTCGGTTCTACCCGATCACTGGTAATTTGGAAAATGTTGCATCTACAGTATGACAAGGACAGAGATGCCCTAGGTCTATTATAAATTCATTTAGAATCTTGTGTTTTATAGCATTTCAAACAAGGCAATGGAAACTTCTTATTAGGCTTTAGTAAAGAACTAAACATGATGTATTAGTGTGTATGTATGGTGAGTGCAAGAGCAATTCTCACAATGTTTGCCTCACTGACACCTGAAATAAAGATATTTTAAGCATTATTCTGTTCCACAGTTCTTTTTTCTTGATCAAATGCTTTAGGCAGTAACTAACAGTAAGAGTTTTAGGCAAAAAAATGTTTCTAAAAATGTTATTTATTTTCTTTTTTTTTCTTTCCCTTTGAAGTCTGAACAGCCGAGTCCTGCCAGTTCCAGCTCCAGTTCCAGTTCCAGTTTTACACCATCTCAAAACAGCAGACAACAAGGTACCAATAGAGGAAAAAGAATTGAAAGGAATGTGTGAAATGAAGGGGCTAATAAAACCAGAACTGGTGGCATCTCATTACCACTTTTCTTCTGCCTTTCATTGCCTGAACTGGCTACAGTTTTGATTTAAATCTTTTTCTCATGTTGTTTTCAGATGTAGCTAAGGGCAAAATAAAAGAGGAGAAACTGAGAAAAGGATGTAAGGGTTGTTTGTTTTTAAGGATTAAATACATGACAGTCACTTAACAGATGGTAAACTCAAAAGAGCTTCTGTTTCTGAGTTGTCCTTCCGCAGAGTTAGTTATCATGGCACCTGGCTTTATCTGAAGCTCTGGAAGTGTGTGGCTTGCTGCGAGAAGCCCATGAAAATCCATTAATTTGTGTACATCGACCCCTTTGAAGGGCCATGATCTTCCCATAGTATTGGAAAGTAAGAGCATAGAGTATTTACTTTAGATATGTGGCAGGGAAGGATGAGGGTTAGACTTTAAGTTTGCATTTTGATTTTTTGGCTAATAATTTCAGTTTACTTGGAACTCAGTAAAGAATGCATTTTTCTTCCTGGAGACCTGGCCAAGGCATGTTTTCTGTAAATAAGTTGAGATTCATTCTACATGATCTATTAAACTACTTAGTTCCTGCTTGGCTTCTTTCCCTGGGTTTATAAGATTGTACAACTGATACATTCTTAATGAGCTTTTGTTTTGTTGTTTGGATAAGCAGCATTAAAAAAGCAGCCTTTGACTAAACAAAATTGTCTTCTGTTTTATCCATTTATATTCCTCAGTGGTAGACTTGATTTAAGATTATGAGAATACATTAGTGCTTCAGGCAGACTGTTTTTAAATATATCTATGCATGATGCATCTCTGTCCTATTGCCTTTCTGTAGGTCACTGGTACTGATTTTCTAATATTTTCTGGCAAAAAAAATCTAATGTTTTCTGGCGGTGTTACTCTGCGTGAAAGAAAGCAAGAGCTAAAGTGAGCTGTGGTTGACTGGCTTCAGGCAGTTGATTTTTATCTAGGGATAAAGAGATACACTTCTTCTGAAACCCCTTTTTCATTCTCATGAAAACTTCCTTAGTGATGTGAACTGTCCATTACAAGACAAAAAATTTGCATACCCATTTCTGTGTCTGTTTTATTATGCTGGGCAAAAACCTTTTGACTTAGTGTTTTCTTCTAAGCAGATTGGTCCCATCCATCTCTTCTGTTCATATATAAGAGGTATTGCAGGTTGTCTTTCAGTTCCTTATACCTTCTCTGGAACAGAGGGGAGATTTATCCTCTGATGTGAACAGCTCTGAAGAGCAAGGGGTATATACATCTTTTCTTTCATGCCACAGTAAATAGTGATTACTGCTTCTTTCTGGGAGTTCCAGAAACTCCCATTAACTAAACATGTTCATTGCCCAGGCCATGCATTTGTATATCAAAGGAATGACATACTGGGTGTACCCTGGCATGTTGACACCATATGTTGTGCTCTGGTAAAAAGCCATACTTTTTCTCATAACTAGAAGTTACTTGTTAGGGCTGTTTCTCTTTTTCTGTTGATTCAGTCTCTGGCACTTGCTCAAGTGTCAAAAAACCACAGCATGAACTTTTTTCACCTCTTTTTGCATAAGCAGTGGGCTAACCTAAGGTTCTTTGAAGTTCTTCTGTCATTGGGGCTTATTCTAATATTTCTTTTTCCTTACCAAGGGCACCTAATGGGCAGCAATTAATTTTCAGTTTCTCCTTAACTATTCTGACCCTTTAGGAAGTAACAACTTTTCAGACCCTTAAAAAGGTTGCTATGGAATTTTAAAGTAACTGTTCACAAGGACAGAAGGTTAACAGTGACATTGCTACCAATGCTACAAACAAAATACCTAAAAATTTATACTTCTACAAATCAGCAGTGGGTGCATGGACAAGAAGCGCTTCTATATAGCTCTCCTTCCGTTGTCACCTAGTCAAGTGTCTGGTTAACCAGGAGTTTGCTCATCAGCACCATCTGGTTTACTTCCCTAGGGTGTGAAAACAGAGAAAAGAAACAATAGTTATGAACCTGCCCAAACTGTGCCAATTTACAAAAGTTCTAGTGCAGCCTTAGTGCTAAAACATTCTCAACATTGGCTTTGAAGTCACTTGTACAAAACTAGTCAAAATGCCTATCACCTGAACCTTGCTAGGTCTGGAATAGTCCATAAAGCTGTTCCTCCCATGAGTCCCTGTCATGAGTGTGGCACTGACTGACAGACCTGCCTTCTCTGCTGACAGTGACCAGGGAGGACACTTCTTGACTCAGTTTCCCCATAAGCAAATAGGAAGTTGAGAGCTTCATCTTGGAGGCTTATCTTGTTCATGTTAATACTTTGTGTTTCTTAGGCTGAAGGAATTACACAACTGTAATAGTAATTGCTGTTCCTATAGCCATCACTGGTGCTTTTACTTGCTGCTTTGTGTCTCAGATGAGCAGTACTTTAGAGTTAAATGTGGCACCAGTCTTGCTTCCTTCCCTCTTCTAATATGCTTTTTTCTATTCTTATTTCAAGCAGCTGTAGTTTTACATTTCACAGATCTATTAAACATATTCCTCTTTCTGTAACTGTCTCTTACAGCAAAACAGAGTAAAAATCAAAACCCAAACTGAGTTTAATGCAGTTTTGTGAGCAACTCAAGCTTTGTACCTCTTGTTAATTCAGGAAAAGTGATAACATGATGTCGAGTGGGATTAATGTACTTAGTACATATCAACATAGGCAAAGTGCTTACTCAACTTGAAATTAATCCTGAAATAACAGGAACAGTTAAAGCTAAATATATAAAAGAAGACAAAGACTACCTTGGCCAGTATGAGTTAGTCAAAATGATTTGTTAGATCCAACTTCTCAATACATGAATTAATCTAACAAATGTACCATTGCTGATCAATATGCCCCTGTAGATCTTTCCTCACATATATAATAGACAAAGCAAAAAATACTAAACCCCAGCAATGCAAAAGAAGCATGCTTCTAGCAATAATACAGTAAAAGTCAATTTCTCCTGTCATGACAGTATTTTACTTACTTTAGCTACAGTCCAGGGAGCAAATTGTTCAAACACTTGAACATATGAGTCCCTCCACTGTCATGAGTAAGTCTGTTGAAGCTGACTGAGTTGCTCATGTGAGTAAATGATTCATGGATAACTCCCTGCAGCATAAGCCCCCAGTGCATCACTTCATATGCTTAACGTTTAAGACTCTCCCCTCTCAACGCTGTGTGGGGAGGGTAGTTTTCAAAACTGGGTGAATTGCTCAAAACACTGCAAAGTGAACTTCATAGTGTGTTTTATTGTCTCTGTTGTTTCAGGTCTGTTGAGGTCTATAATGAAAGATCTGCATTCAGATGATAACGAAGATGAATCAGATGAAGCAGATGAGAAGGACAATGATTCTGAGTTGGAACAACCTGTAAATACACAAGGAGGAAGCAAGAGTCGCAGGTGAGTGTCTTGTGTTTGCAAGTAGCCTGGTGGCCAAGACGTGTAGCGCTTGTTAGTAATGAAGTGAGGTCTACTGTTCTCAAAGACTGCTAAGTAGCAAACGTGCAGAAAATTTAGACTCTTTTTAAAGCAGCAGCTTCTAAAAGCTAACAAAATTAGCCATTCCCGATACAAGCTCTTTCTGTATTATTCAGTATGGTTACGATGATCCTTATTTGACTTTACTGGATTTCATGTGATTGTGACTTAAAGGGAGAAGTCATCATTACTTTCTGGCATAAATTAGAGAAAATTAAGTCCTTCAGTTTTTGGATAAACTATTCTATACAAAGTCTCATTTTCAAGACCTCTCTGCTTACTAGTTTTAGATTAGGTTGTTAAATTGAATCAGAATCAATGAAATTTGAATTTCAAGTAATTTCTATGCTGCATGCAGTAGATAATGAATAAAAGTGCATCAGAAGGTAAAGCAAGCATCTGTCACAGAAATTAATTTTTTAAAAAAAGCTTCTGCATCCTTACTGCAACCTTCAGAAGGCTTTCCAGAAGTTATCTTTCTTCGGGTAGCTTGAAGCTCCATCCAAATGGTGTTGAAGGTTATGGAAATCCTGAAATGGTCTCTTAAACACTTTTCATATTAGGTTCTTTATCTGATTTAGAGGGTTTTGCTGTTAGTGCATAGCATCTGAGTGCCAGTGTCAGCTACTGTTTAAATGGGAAGGTAATAGGAAAACGTTAATGAATGTCAGCTGCTTCCCTGGTGTACGGTAGCACATGGAATCAAGGAGCAAAAGACCAAGATGACTAGCAGTTTGAGAACTTGTTGTGTCAGTGATTGTGTAAAGGATTGTTTCAAGCTCAACTTGTCTCCATGTGTAGAGATTTTGTTTCACTTTTTAAATGAAATCTTAAGGCTTATGTTTCTCTAACTTCTTTTTATCCCAAATAACTCCTTCTCCCTCCTCGAAAAAGTATTGTCTATTGTTCCTAAGTAAATGAAGGGTGAAACTGACGAGGAGCTGGGCTTTTTCATGTGGCCTCTCCTGAGATGCTAAGATTTTAAATTTTAGCCAGGAAAAAATGTGTTACTTATGACAATAAACAAGGAACTTTTCAGTAAAACACTTGTTCAGGTAGGAAGCACAGCTGTTTATAAAGCTTTTAGAGGAGCAGAAGAGTATCTCTAAAAACCACTTTCCTTCCTCCACATGGCTGTGAACTGAGATAGGGATTCACTCTGTTGGGAGCAGCGGTATTATGCTGTAGCTGTTCATCCATTTTTGTAACATTGGCTGCTGTGTTAACTGGACACTTCATCTCAACAAGTGCAGGCAGGCAGCCTCCTTCTTTGTGCTGCACCGAGCTTTTTCCAGAGTGCAGCCCTGCTCAGATGCCTCTCTTCCATGTGACCTTGATGGCTTGCTTAGCAAGAGATTGGTCATTTTAAGTCCATACTTCAAAATACAAGCTTGGTTCACCCTATTGACAGCCCTTTGTCTGCAGGTGTAATGCTTTGGCTCTTCTTTTTCATAGGGTTAGTCTGAGTGATGGCAGCGACAGTGATAGCAGTTCAGCTTCCTCACCGCTACGTCATGAACCAGCACCACCTTTACTGAAAACCAACAACAGCCAGGTAAAGTCAGAATTCAAAAATACAGTTGAGGTTTGTATTAGCAGTAGACACAGTTCACATCAGGAGTTTATTCGTTCGTCTCATGCCCTCTCCCCCACCAGTGCTTATCTAGGAGATACAATATTTTTTACTCCACTAGCAGACACAATAGTTTTTACTTCACACTAGAGTATTCGTTCCAGATTTGTAAGAGCTAACATAGTTATTTTGAGGTAGGAACATAATGTAGTTCTGTTTTTCAAAGAAAAGAATCAAATTACCTAGAGTTACAAAATGCTTCTGGGATGCTGCCTCGCCCTCAGCCACCATAAATTAAGACTCTCTAAATATAAAAATTAAACATAAAAGGTTATATTTTTTATAAAATAGAATACAAGTTACAAGCAATAATACATTCCCACTGTCAGTTGTATCATACACAAAGCAGTTATGACACTTATTGGCAATAAATGGCTGCTTACAGTTTTGATATAGTTAGAATAGTGTCTACCTGTATTAGCAAAAGTTTGTGATTTAGATGGTGAGTTTCATGGATGAGACTTTTCTATATTTCTTTGATTAACTGCTTTAATTATCTGGCAGATATTATTTACTTGTCCTTGTTTTTCTATTAAGATTTCCAATACAAGCTATAGAGCAAACCCAAATATTATTATTCATGTTATTTAAGTTTAAATACACTGTAGAAAAAAAAAGAAAAAAAACCTAGGAAGTACTTTGTGCAAAGAAAGAAGGTGATTCCATGTCCAGAAAATATTATTATTATATACCAGAAACATTGTAGACTTTTCTAAGTTATCTGTACAGAAGTTACAAGTTTTTGAGAGAGTCTTTTGGGGTAAAATAAAAAGCTAACTATAAGGATGAAGAATATTTCATGTACTGGGCTCATAAACACAAGAAAAATAAAACATTTATCTATGGCTTGTTGTTTAATGAAGACTAACTTCTACAGAGGCAATGTAATTGTTAAGTAATTATAAGTCTCAATATTGGCAGTCCACTCACTCAGTTATATCTTTCGTGTTCCTTTGCCTTTTGGTGATATAACAGAAGGTCTACCTGTGCATTTAGACACACTGAATAACAGCTGTGTGCCAGCCAAAACTGAATGTTACATACCTTCTTCCATTTCTATACTTAGGCTGAATTTTGTAAATAAGATGAAAATCAGAAATTTAGGGAGTCATTGTGAGAATTCAAATTGTATGGACCATTTTAGCCACATTTTAACCCTCTGCTTGAAAGTGTAATGCTACTTACCAGGTTGATGGTTTTTACTGATGAAATTAGGTTTTTGTTGACTAAGTTCATTCATAGAACCAAAGAGCTAAAATAGAATTAGTATTTGTATAAGCTTCCTCAGATGTGATTAGTGCTGTATCTCATCTAAACAAGAGTGCTTAAGATGTTAGATTTCAAACTACACATCTAGAGCACAGTAAGGAAGCAACTTTTTCAAATATACTGTGTTCTTGCTAGGGTTCTATTTGAAACCAAGAATTTTCTTCCTCTAAAAACAATAAAAGCATCTAAAAGTTACTGGATTCATGACTAGAGGTCTGGGTTTTTTTTTAAAAACAAGACTTTTCTTTCACTGGCCTAAACAGCAGTAACCCCGGGGGGGTCTTGAATAGAAGAACTGGGATTTTTCTTTAAAAATGTATGTTTTGATTTCTGATCACTCTTGGCTAAATAACTCTTTATATAAGATTAACTCAGATCTGCAGTCACACTCTCTCTATGGGGAAATAGCTGCCTGCCTGCTGTAATTCTTATGATGCTGGTCACCCGGGAAGCATATATGTAATTTAGTCATTTTTACCAAGGGAAGTAGAAATGAGAGAGAGACTTGGGAAAATTGTCAATGAGGCTTGTAGAAGACTTGTTTTTTACAGGCTTATTTCCTTGTTTTAATTCTGCGTTTTATTCTGTGTTATGACTGTTTAGTGTGGGTTTCGAGTTAACCACGCTAGTGATGTTAGTCTCACAATGAAATGTGAAACATAATCTCCCATCATCTGTGATTATTTAGTTTTCTGTGATGTTCTTCAGAAGAACTAGTTATATTCCAGGTGAGGAATGACATGGTGGTTTTTTATTTTTAACTTCAAAAAATGTGTTCTGCGTGGAAAAAAATGGAAGAACAATCAACAGTTCTTTTCCCCCAAAATATTCCTGCCTTTAGTCCTAACAGTTTCATATTAAGCATGGTGTCTTGCTGCTTATTGATATACTCTTCTTGACTGTGGTTCACTAGCAAATGAAGCATTCTAGATTTGTATGTGTGATAGTAAGTGGGTTTGAATGGCATTGAAGGAAGGGTACTATGTAAGTGCAAAAGAAATTGCTCTCAATCACTTTCTTTTTCAGTTACAACTCATGTGATCATTTCAAAGATTGTTTCAAACTCTATTGTCAAAGAAAAGAGATAGCATTGGAGAAAAAAACAGGAAAAATACACTGCTCGTGTGATATTTCAAAAGCACTGGGAAGATCCTCAGCATCATTTTGTATCTGCAAAATATTCTTATCCTACCAGTATGAAAAGGATAAAAAAAAAAAGTGTTAGGAAGGCTTTAAGTGAAATTAATGGAAGCCTTCCTTAATTTCATTAAGGAAGGCTTAATGAAATTAATTCTTTTAAGCATTAACAATATCACTGCCACTTTGTTCCAACAGCTCATCATTTTCTACTGTAAGCTACTTTTTATTCTGAAAAATATGAGTAGGTTATATGGATTAAAGAATGAAGAACTCAGTTTTGAGTTTGTATTATTAACCAATAGCAGAATTTTCCATTTGTAATTGTATCCAATAATGCATTTAATTTTTACAGGATTTTCATTCTTTTCCAGATTTTAGAAGTGAAAAGTCCAATAAAGCAAAACAAACCTGACAAACAAATAAAGAATGGGGATTGTGATAAGGTAAATAAGAGATAACAATAAACTGCTTCAGAATATCATACTAATGCATTTACTAGACACCAATCTTTGTTAGAGAATCTTTGTAAGTACATCTTGACTTTGTGTTCTTTTAGGTGCAGATCTTTCCCTCCATTTTTTTTCTGCAATTCTTTCTTCTTCTGTCATATTTTGAATTTTTTTCCTTCTTTTCAGTACATGTGGTTTGGCAAATGTCACCAGTTGGGAATCTACTATCTATTATTTATTTTATCTACTCTCCCCGATGAGTTTGTACTGTGTTTCACAGAAGAAGTGATAATTTTTGTAGATGAGAATTCACAGACATATTCCTAGCCAATATATCAATCAACTATGAAAAACAAAAAACCAACTATGTATTTTCCAGAATCCTTTCTGAAGGCTATGCATTAGGAAGTGGCAAAAACAGTTTTAGCATGTTAACTAGAATGATATGAAGCAACTGTTAATTTAACACTGAGCAAGACAGTTTTGTTTAAAAACATGTCAGCTGGCTGTGGGCAAGAGCTCTAAGTCTTTATGTGAGTGAACATAACACAAATTGCCCACTGTGGACAAGTTCCTCTGAAGGTTCGTATTTTACTGGTATTAGTGGAGACTTTGCGATAACACAACGCAAGAGATGAAAGTTGCAGTATCTGCAGCTAGATTTTTAGTACTCTGATCCATATGCTTTTAGAATTTTTAAGTTGGATGCCATACCTCTTTCTCCTTAAAAGCAAAAAAAAAAGTTTTTTGATGGCTCAGGCTGAAGGAGAAAGTTGATAATTGGGTGGAGGGGTGGGATGTGTTTGACATTCCATTAAGGAAGCAGTGGAATTTACCATTTAATTAATCTTGCTTAATCCCTCTCCCCTTATATCTTCCTGTTGACACAAAAGAAATAATTACATAGCTTTAGAGAGAACGAGGGATTTCATTGTGATTTGGGTTTTGTTCTTACATCACAAGGTGGGAGATATTTCAAAGATACTGTTTTGGCATCCGCAGTCTTTTGATGCCTTTTGGCGCAGTAGAGATATATATATATTATTTTCTACAGTAAATGACCATCTGATTTTTGTCAGGTTTTTTATCAAAAAACTACAAGAACTTGTACTTGGATTGCATTAAGCTAGAGAAAGCCAGACTTCTAAATAAGAAAATACAGCTCAAAGAAGAGCTTGGTCTTATTTCAGGTCCTTTTTGCAGTTTTGGGTGCCACAATACAAGAAGGATCTAAAGCTATTAGAAAGCATCCAGAGGAGGGCAGTGAAGATGGTGAAGGGTTTTGAGGGGAAGCCAAATGAGGAGTGGCTGAGGTCACTTGACTTATTCAGCCTGGAGAACAGGCTGAGGGGAGACCCCATCTCAATCCACAGCTTCCTTACGAGGGGAAGCAGAGGGGCAGGCACTGATCTCTTCTCTGGTGACCAGTGACAGGATCCAAGGGAATGTGACCTGAGGCTGTTTCAGGAGAAATTTAGATTGGATGTTAGGAAAAGGTACTTCACCCAGAGGGTTGTTGGGCACTGGAACAGGCTCCCCAGGGAAGTGGTCACAGCACCAAGCCTGCCAGAGTTCAAGAGGCATTTGGATGATACTCTCAGGCACATGGTGTGACTTTTGGGGATGGTTCTGTGCAGGGCCAGGAGTTGGACTCAATGATCCTTGTGGGTCCTATCCAACTCAGGGTATTCTGACATTCTAAGATTGAAAATAACATCTCCATTTGTATTGGTTTTGAAGACATCTGAAGTTTGTGAAATACATAGCTGTGACTTAATTAACAAGTTGTTTATGGGGGGGATTTGTTTCTAGGCATATCTCGATGAACTGGTAGAGCTCCACAGAAGATTAATGACATTGAGAGAGAGACATGTACTGCAGCAGGTGAGGAGCACTCTCATGCGATATCACAGCATGCTCATTGAAATGATAAAGTCACATTTATTTTTTTTTGCCTTCATCTAAAACTCTATTATCAGGTTTAATAGCCTTCAAGCCTGTAGAATCCATAAAAGCTTACGCATACTTTAAATTCACACTAAAACCCAAATTTTAAAAAAATGCCTGTCTGAGCTAAATTTTTCACCAATTCATTGTTATGTTTCTTAGCATACCATGTTAATAATTATTAAAACAGGATGGGAGAATGGATACAGCTGTGACTTGGTAAAAATCTTGTTGCTTTTTTCCTGAAAATGACCAGACTTTTGTCAGAAAGTGTTAAAGTGGTTTTTAATATGGCAGGCAGAAAACATGGAATTCAAAGTCTAATCCACTTTAAGGAAAGACATAATATATTCAGTGAATCTTCTGAAGTCATGGAACAAGTAAAATATGAAAATGTAGAAACCTAAAAGGCTCAAAATGTATTGAAAGGTTATCCAATAGTAAGAACTATTCTTGGTTTTGGGTGCCATTGTCAGGTACTATTGGATTACAGATTGTGAAGAATAAGCACTGTCAACAAAGCAGATGTAATTGTAGCACAGATGGTTTTATTATGTTTAGCACAATTATGTGCCAGTTGTGGAGATGTTGTAAAGAGGGAAATTTTTACCACTTCTAAATGATTGCAATCACATGTCAAATTTCTCAGCAGAGTGTGGTAACAGTATTTTGCAAGTCCCACCACTAATCTGTTTATTAGTTCAGGCTCAATATTGTGAGTAAAGATGTGAAAACTGTTGAGAGGTCAGTGAAAAGGAAGACCTTGGTTAAGGATATTCTTAATTAAAGATGAATTCCAATAACTTTGTCATATTTTGTGTTACAACACACAGTGATGCATATTGGTTATCCTTCATATTTAATCTACTGTTGACTCCCAAGTTTCCAAGGGAACCAAAGCATGCATTCAGAACGGTGGCAGAGTCAAATGTTTATCTACATTGGGAAATTATTGTGCATGAGGCTAAAAGGTAGCAATTGCAACACTCGATCCACTTCACGTTATTCATAATTCTTAAAAATGGCGTTGCTTCTGGCAGGCCTTTGTAGCTAATATTACACTGTTACCAGCTGTCGGTACAGAACTGAACAACTGTCCCAGCCTGTGCAGCCCAACCATAAACCAAGCTTTCACTGGGGCTGCTTTGTCAGCTTCATGTGAAACTTTGAAAAAGAAAATCAACTGCAAAATCTTTTATGCAAATCAAATATAAAGACAATCAAGAAACCTTTTTTTTCCCCACATTAGGTAAGTCTAAAAGTGGAATAGAGAGTCCTGGAGAGGCTGTGCTCCATCCTTGGAGCTTTTAAAATTCGGACAGGATAAGCCTGGAGCAGCTAAAGGAAAAGATGAAAATTAAAAAGAGCAGTATATTCTTGGGCATTTTAAAATAGACCTTTTTTTTTCTTATTGAGAGTATTTATCAAACCGGAAAAAGGATTCTTTCACCAACTCTGCCTCAAAACTTGCATTAAGAGTGAGGCATTTTAATGCATTAAAAGTGAGTAATTTTAATACTGTAATCTATGATTACTTATATATTATTACTCAGACTGAGAAAGTTTCATGTAGAATTGGTGTTGCCTTGTTTCTGGGGGGAAGTTGTTCTTGCAGATTGTTTCCCTTGGTTTAGAGCATATGCAGGCTGTCAGTACAGCCCCAGTGAAGCTGGATTTATGACCAGACTGCAGGTTGCAACAGTAGTTCAGTTCTGTAGCAACAGCTGATAATGGCTACAGAGACCTACAGAAATGAGTGGAAGAGCCAAGTTACCAGTTATCTGTTAGCCAGTCCGCACTAGCAAATGGTCTATGCTGCTATAAAACAAAATACAGCTTAGTTTTAAAACCTTTAATCCCTTAATTCAATAATTCCTATGATTTTATCAGTTTACAGAAATATCTTCACAATACTGAATGGATAACTTGCAGAAAATCGGTTCTTCTTTGCATTGCAAATTAACTGTCATCCCATCTTAAATGTCCTTACTGCTTTGCAGCTATGTAGTTAATGTAAAATACTTCCAGGGTGCACAGAAATTAAAAAGGTACAGAGCTGAAAAAGTTTTTAGGAATGAATGTGAAACTTCTAGATTGAGAAATACAAGTATATAGAGACTACAGGAAGTATAAAGGTCAAGGAGAGACTGTAGAAAGTACAAAGATCAGGAGACCAAGGGGCAAAACTGCAGAAAGGGATGGTGGTTACTGCATAAGAAGAGGGATCGAGTGCAAAGATATGCAACAGAAAATTGTAGACAGCTGCAAGAATGTTAAAGGTGGTGGTGGTGGAGTTGTGTGTTACTGAATGGTGGTTGTCATCTCTCTAGTTTATGTTAGGGCAGGTAATAGTCTCTTGCACATGTCAAAGTCTGCTACCCACAGACTTTGAAGGAATTTTTAGAGAAAGGACTTGCAAAAGAACAATGAAGGCATTGATAACGTAAAAAGCACAGGCTTTTGAAACTTATGCTGTGGGACATGAAAAGGGCTTTTTTTTTTGTTGTTGTTTTTTGCAATCTCAGTTGTTAAGTCCATAGGCGTGATAACACACAGGAATGCAGCCAAATTGGAAATGAGAAAAATGGATCTGTTTGAGAATGTGGCTTTCTTCCAAGAGAGGCATTTTTCTTTGAGACACTTTGTTAAAGGAAGCTGAGAAAGGGAGAAGGCAAGGAGAGATGTGATACTGTGCTGCAAGTGCCTAGAATTATAGCAAAATAATTCTGATATAAAATACTACTTACAGATATATAAGAATTGCCTGAGAGGGAGAAGACCTGAAAAAGAACATTTGACCAAGAAATTAATCCTGTGAAAATTACCTGAGCAATTTCTATATGACTATTGGACCATGGCAAGACAGAAACTGGTCTGAAGTTACATTTTAAAAATAAAGATCTCTCCCACCTCTTTCACTGTAAAGAGACATTGGAATTTATAGTAGTTAGGTTTTTTTTTAACTTTGTGATTTTCAGTTAATAGGATAATTGAGTCTGCCATCAAATATTAATGCTACATGTGTAATATATTCAAATTTGACTGACTAAAGCTGTGTTCCTAACTGCAACTTCAGTGCAGATAATGTTAATGTGACCCTGTGAAATGCAACAACATTTTTGGTAAGACTTCGCCTCTTATTTTAGAGCATCAGAAGTCCTATCTTCAGCTTGTGAAAAATCTGGAACCCTGTGCACTAAGCAGCACAGACATAAGGAAGAAATTGAGAGTACACAGCATGGCTGAAAATTACATTGCTTATGTCCACAAGGTGCTTAACTTCAGATGGCAACTATCTTCTGAGAATTTTCTGCCAGGGGCAGCTTGGAGGTCTGGAAACTATCACATGGCCTAAACCCCTCCATAAATTGAAAAATGACTATGTCATTAGTTGCACTTTGGCTTCCTTATACAAACACACTCATTTGCTTGTTTAAAGGCTGATAAATAGTTATACTATGATGGATAATGATGAAACTGAGCTGGAGAGACATTAGGTAAACAGAGATGTAATTTACAGCAGAAAAGCAAAGCTTACTACAGCAGTAACAAATGAGATATTTTTGTTCTTTGCAGTCTGAGCTCTCCAAATAAAACATTTTAATGCTGTGTTTTTAATGTTAAAACTGTCAGACTTCCTAGCAACTAGTCTCAACCTTTTATTCTTTTTGAGGTATTTCTCAATAGCACAAGGATGCATATGCTGATACTGTAAGTCATGAATTCCTCATTGACTGGCACACAGGCAAGTGTTTTTCGTTGAGCCGTTTGGGTTTATCCTGATACATGTTGGTATATCCATTAAAACCTTTTGAGTTCATTTCGGTCTAATTTACCAGGTGCCCAGACATAGTGACTGTATTTCTTGAGGGCTGGAATGAGGGATATGTTTAAAATGTTTATATTTCCCTTGACCGAGAGCTTAAAAGCCCAAAGCAGAACTTGATCAGTAGAAGTCCTTATCCATTTCTTAAAATATGCAGTGCAGCTTAAAAATACATGTGCTAGCACTTTTGTGTAATCTGTATTTCTAAAATCAGGTATATTGCAGTGGGGGCTGTGAGGGGTGGTATTCTTCCACAGTAACACAAGGAAGTGTTAGACAGAATTATTCAAAATAGCTACATCTTCCTGGCCTCAGTTTCTGTAGACTTCTTGTGCAGCCATTTATTTGTCACACAGTTGATATTCAGAGACCAAGCCTGAGATTAGATTCCAAACTTTACAAAAGGAGGTTGGATTGACTCCTTACCTTAGCTTCCCTCTTAGATGAGGCTCAAGAGAGTGCCAGAAATGAGAATGACAATACGTATCAAAGTTTTCTTCCGCTAACAGTCAATTCTGTCTCATTTGATTTTTTTTTTCTCTGACATCAATTGCAGAACAATAGGAGGTGGAAAAGTGTTACAAGAATCTGGGAATCAACAAGTGGACAAATAAAGTTGGTCATTTTAGATTAAAAATTCCCATATGGAAAAAAATTGCAAACAAGAGGCACATATTTAAATGGACTGTTAATAAACGCAGAATTTTGGACAGCTGCAAACCAAATTAAACAGATTTTATTTTTATTTTTCCAACTTGGAAAAATAGGAGGTGGTTGAAAAGGGAGATTTTTACTGTAATAGGCATTTTCCTTTTATTAGTTTATCTTATTTCCGTTCTGTTTAATCTATCCTGGGCCATGTCATTCCATGCCTGACAATACACATGAAGTTATTTTATTTATCATCAACATAGTCTTTACTTTTGTATTCTGAGAAGAAAAAATACCTATTTATATAATGAAATGCAGAGTGGAAAATTACAGAATATTTAGTTTTAATTCAGTGTTCTTTGTCAAGTTAGTGTAACCCTACCAGATTTGTCATTTTAAGGTATACTCTGTAAGACATAACGTGCATACATCTGTATCTCCTCCAGCTGTGGAAAAGGAATTACTGTCAGAGTAACAAAGCTCAAAACAATTAAGGAATGTAGTAGTGTTTCAGTGGAGGTATATGTGGAAGCCCAAGAACTAGATGGGTTTCAAGTTGAAGGTTTCAAACAGGACATTGAGTCTAACCTGAACACTGCACAACGGATGGTTGGAAAGACTGAGAAGAGCAGCAGTGTTGTGTTAGTCCATGACACTACCCAGAGGCCCACTTCAGGATGGACTGCCTTTTTATTTGCTCTCTTGGGCTCATTCATACCTGTAGTGTGTTGGCACTGTGATAGTCCTCTCTGACAAATAATGCTTTGGCTTTTCCAGATGCTTAATGTTTTTTTCCTAGGTAGGTGGACATCCTAGAGCTTAACATATCTGGAGTTACTTTTTACAGCAATTCAGTATGAGTATGATGATTCTTGAAAAATGTAGACTACAATTCAGAGACTAAAAATGTTACTAGAGAAAGACACAAGTTAGATATGTACTGTTGATTTCACAGAATCATAGAATGGTTGAGGTTAGAAGGGATCTCTGGAGGTCACAGGGACATGTAGAGCCAGCTACCCAGGACTATGTCATATGACTTTGGAAAATCTCCAAGGATGGAGACCCCACAACTGCCCTGGGCAACCTGTACCAGTGCTTGGTCACCCTCACAGGAAAAAGGTGTCACCTGTTCAGAAGGAACCTCCTGAGCTTCAGCTGGTGTCCACTGGCCCAGGTCCTGTCACTGTGTACCACTGGAAAGAACCTGGCTCTGTATTCTTCACACACTCCCTTTAGGTATTTGTACACACTGACAAAATCTGCTCTGAGCCTTCTCTTCTCCAGACTGAAGAGTCGCAGCTCTGTGAGCCTTTGCTTATAGGAGAGATGTTTTAGTCCCTATTCTTCTCAAGAACTCCAAACAGCTCTTCTGTTTCCTGTTCTAATGAAACTTATGATTATAGATTAAATAGTCACAAGAAGAAGCGAAGTTATGCCATTGCTAGGAGTCTTTTCAGGATTGATCTAGCTAAAAAATTACATTTAAGTCTGTTACTCAAGAAATAACTGCTAGTACATGAACTAACAGTTCATGTGAGAGCTCTTAAATGTATTTTTTGTTTGATATGGAGTAGACTCTGGAAGAATTTATTTCTTTCCCTTGCTTGCAGAAAGGCTCATGCCAATTATTTCCTAATGTAACCTGCTTAGCAGCTATGCACACAGTAAACGTTTGACATTATGGTCGATGATGATTTAAAAAAAAACCCGACCAATTGAGATACTGTAGTTTGGACAATAGTGCGTGTTAGAAAGGAAGGGTTAGTGGTTTAATGTGCAAGTATTGGGGCAATTGGGCTCATTTGAGGCCTTTCATGATACTTGGTGGCATGTTAATATGTTCAGTAGGCATGTAAAACTGGAATTTTCAACTGCATCTTTTCTTTTGTTTCAGATAGTGAATCTTATAGAAGAAACTGGACATTTTCACATCACAAATACAACCTTTGACTTTGATCTTTGTTCACTGGACAAAACCACAGTCCGTAAACTACAGAGTTACCTGGAAATGTCTGGAACCTCCTGAGGATTCAGCATCTGGCTGCATCAAAATACTGCTCTTTAAATGACATATGTAGAAAGATGCAACCAAAACAGAGGGGAAAAAAAATTAAGCAATCCTCTGCATCTTTTATTTTTCCTTAAAGACAGTCATCATCTCTTGATAAGGGAGAGGAAAAGTGACCAGACTTAGAGGACCAGTCTTTCTCAAGAAGAAAATGCTCTGGAAGAGTTTGCCTGGATAGCCTTGAAAAACAAACACAGAAAAACAAACAAAAATACTTGTTCTTAATGAATGTGTATGATATCATAAACACTGCCTTATTACATAACTGATCTATTTATTACTGCATACATGTATCCTAAAGTCCATGAGTCATTGAGTGACACTACCAGATGTTGCAAGTAGTGGGATCCTATGTGTGCTCTTTTGATGCAGTACTTTCGCAAGCCTAGTAACCTTATTCATGTTAAAATGCCACTTTTGGCTATCTTTCACTATCAATTAAAACACTAAAGGTCTTGATTCCACCTCTGCAGTTCCAGGAAACAAGATACAAACTTAGTGACCAAACAGTGGTTGTATATTTCGTTTCCTGTCTGCCACAGTGAGTTGGACCAGAGCAAGTTGGACCACAGCTCCTTCATTCTGTCCACTTATTAATCTTGACCATGGTAAAAAAATGCACCAAATAGTATCATATGACTTGCCGTCTAGCCTCAGTGAATAAACCAATAGGATTTTTAACAAAAAATGTTATGTATACTGTCATGAATCTGGCAACTTTTGCAGTCTACATTCTTGTATCTGTTGTAATGTTACAAAATTAGATATATATTAGAGTGAAGGTGTTCTGCAGGATCGTCATAAAAGAATATACTGGTCCTGTCCTTAAAGAAGAGGTTGTAGAAAATTCTTAATTTGGAGGTATTTATTACTATGAATTTCAACACTCTTCTGCTGCCAGTGTGTGACTCACTTCTACCATAAAACTCTTTGTGTAACATTTTTGTTTGCCCATATATTATATGGTCTGCTTAGTTTGTTTTGGGGATTTTTTTCTGGTTTTGTTTGGTTTCTAAAACTGCTAAATTAAAAACTTTTATTTTAAAATAAGTATGTTGTTATACAGTTACATGCTGGAATAAATACATCTATGATATTGTCTGTATGTGTGTGTTTATATATACATATATACTGCACCTGTATATATATATGTGTATATATATACACACACGCGCGCGCATATGTGCTTTTTACACTTACTAGATTTTGGTATCTGTTCAATAACTTGCTTGTGTTTCCAGAAGATCTTCTTGTCTATAAAAATGAGTATTCTTTCATAGCATCTATTATTTCTTAAAATCAGGATCTTTGTTCATGCGTGATCAAATGAGAGGATGTGTACTCAGTTTCACATCAATGCTTCATGCTCTCATATTGCTGATGGTTTCTTGATGGAATCATCACTATTCTATTAGAAATGCAAATTCCTAAAAGAAAAGAGGAAAGAATTAAAAAATACTTCTGGATGCAAAGGTTTATTCAAGTTTACCAGCCTAAAAAATGTATCTTGTTACTAGACAGGCCAGTATGTCGTGTATGCTTATATGCCACGTGTAGTCTCTATGTGTAGAGCTGAACAGTAGTAGCTTTATGACTTACTGTTTCATGTGCACAGTTTGTGCAGCACTGAAAAACTATTGGGGTTATTTCTTATTCAGATAGTAAATCTTAATACTGTTTCTTTAAGTCCAAAGAAAATTTTACATTTTACTCTTTTTGAAAGGGCATGATATGTATTGGCTGGGGGGCTTTTTTCTTATTTAAGATGTTGTTTGATCACACTCCGCAGGAAGTCCTTCTTAGGCTTCCAGAGAATAAGTGTACTTTTTCAGTAATGTTATGACTCTTATTGATGATTGGCATGAAGCATACTTGAAACGTTATGTTGTTCTTTTAAGTCCGTGTCTTAATGTGCAATTGGGGAGGGGTGAAGGAATGGGAGAATAATGTTAACATTACTATTGACAGAAGGCCGATGATAATGGGGAAGGGAATAGGGGTGCATGTGAAGGGGATAAACTTCAATTTTTATTGATTGTTTTATATGAAAATGTTTGGAAATCTAAAAGCAACCTTAAAAATCTTTGGTCAACCAATGTGTGTTCAACTTTCCTGTCTTTTAGTTATACCAGATGTATATAGAAATTTGTCCATTTTGACTTTTCTAACTAAGTCTTGTGGTAAAGACTCATTGAGTTTCAGAAGGGGATACTTCTAGTACGACTATTGCACTGTTTTTTTAGAAATGGTGAAATGAATCATTTTATCCTTTAAATAGATAAGCTTTATTATACACTGCGAACAGGGGTGGAAGAAAAGAGAAACTGGGAGAATAGGCATAAAAGGGAGAAGACAGCAATTACAGTATCAAATCAGTGCTGAATTTCATGCAAACTGTGGATTGTACTTAAACTCTTAAGTTTTCTAATTCATTGGGAGAGAATAAAATAGACTGCAGGTGTCTATCTGTGTACTGACTTTTTCACAAAATTCTGATGAAACAGAACTACAAAGTTATGATCTAAATTTAAAAGTTTACTGTTTTCATCTAATTGTGTATGCAGAAACAAAATAAATCCATGTTCACATAATTTCTGACATTCATATTTCTCTTAAAGAAAAAAATAGAAGATACCTTCCAGACTTTAATGTCTAAGAGCACTGATCTTTGGGATGGGTTAAAGTGTTTTGGCAAACATTTTAGAGTTTTACTTAACATCAAGCTATTTAAAACAGTTATATGAGAGAATTTAGATTAACTCATTGCAGTGACCAGGTAGAGGTTAGCAGTAACTTCCAATATCTAAAGTAATTTTCAGCATAAGTGAGTCACTGTTACTAGAGCAGTAGTTGTATCCAGTAGCAAAGACAGTTTTCATCTCACAAGTAACTTTACACGTCAGAAAGTGAATGTCCAATTGGTAGGCAAGGTTTAATTTTTGGTATTTTTTAGAAATCTGAATCTGCTGAGAGGCTTTACAAAAATTTTAATATTGTTTAGATTTGAAGGCCATCTTAGTCCATGCTAAAGAGAAAGAGCAAGAAAGGAGGAAGAGGTATTCACTGAAGTGAAGAGAGTCTTCCAAGGTAAAAGTAAACCCGTGCTCAGCCTTTAGCCTTTGGACGTAGGAAGCAGTTGATCATTTCTCTCTCTTCATTGGTTTGGTCTTTTTAGGAAAAATCTATGCTTTCAATTCAGAAACAAAGTACACAGAGTACAATGCATTTGGAGAGCCCAGTATATTTCTATTGAAGTTTCTTTTAGTCTCTGGGAAGGAAATCACAAGTTCTTGGGTTTTGCCTGGCCCATTGTTTTTCTTTCCCATTCTCACAGTGAAATAAAGTACTTTCACAATCTGCTTTGAGTCCTTAGTCCTTACTTGGTAACATCTTCCTTTCTTAGAAGCTATACCAGTGTTTTGGGCCTTTTGAATGATTTGTTGATTACAAGACTCTTTACTTAGTTTGCAAAATTGATGGGAAAACTGTAGAATTGTTTGAAGTGAAAATTGCCCCATTCAGTTGTTGTATGCATTATCCTGCTCCAGACATTGTTCTGATGGTAGGATTCACCTCATACCATCTTTGTTCGTACACACCATATCCCATCTTTTACCACTTGTAGTTTAATGACAAACTATCTTTTAGCAAACTCTTGTTTCAGTCTATGGAATCTGTTTCATGTTTGCTCATTAGTCCATGATTTGCAGAAATTGAGCATTAAGATGAAAATTTTATCAGATTTTCAGCCACAGTAGGAGCTAGCAGAAACTGCAAAAATAAGCAGTACAAGACATGCTCCAAAATTTAACAAGTGTGAGGCTGTGTTTCTGTGGGCCTCAATGGTTTTCTTAATTGTTAAACAGTGTACAGTGGAATGTAGTGTACACCAGGAAGCTACTCTGTACACTACTGGAAGAAGCTTTACTTCTGGGCATAAAAGGGTTACCAACAGATGACAAGGACTAAAACATATATCTGCAGTGCATTTGTGCATGCTTGGGAGTTAATCAGGACATTAATGCTGCTAAACCAATGGCATTTACAAGGCTGGCTCTGTGTCTGGGCAGATAAACTAACATCAAAACACAATCATGTAAGGGCCTTGCATATGACTGAGCAGCAAGAAGTACCACTGACTAGACAGGAAATAGAAGAATTACCACAGTGAGAACAAAGCCTATGGGGGAAGAATGACAGAAAAAAAGTGTGAAGAAAAGATGTTGTAATACAGCTGCTTTTGTTCGCTACTGTAAAATCTGGTGCAGTTGTTGCTGACTAGAGAGAGAGGGAGATTGAGATTGCAGCATCATACAAAACTCTAAGCTGTTTTATTGTTTGAGTTGCTAATGTCTGTTTCACATTTTGTTTGTGTTGCATCTGACTTACATTCTATGTTTTATCTCAGCCAGATTGATTGTACTGCACAGTGATAATCTTGCATTTTTCATTTACTTTTAATTTTTCCAGTCTGGAAGTTTGAGCAAAGTCAAATGTAGGCCTGTGAATGCAGCAGGGGATGTATTTTTATCATCATTCAGTATAATTCTGACTGGAAATAACTGTTTCCTGAATCTTCCATCAAATGGGTTATGCATTTTGTATGTTCCTTCAGAGAACTGATGCTGTAAAGCTGAGTTTTCTGTTAGTAAACTTTACCCTTCACAGTAAGAAATAAATTATTACCTTTTATCATTACTCACAGGGAGACAGAATGCAAGGTCTGAGTCCTATTGAGGAAATAGTGGGTTTGTGAAGATGTCAGTTACATGTTTTAAGTAAGACCTAGAAATAAAACCTATCTCTTTAGGGGAGGGAAAAAAGAAAAGGAAGTATTTGCTAAAAGTATTTCTACTCTGATAATGCTGAGTATGTTTCCCTTTTAAATCCTTAAACATCTAATAGCCAGTAAAGTGACTACATAGAAACCATGAGAGAATCAAAGGTATTGAAAATATAAGTAAGTTCTATTAAAAGCCTGGCTGCAAGGAATAATATGGTTGTAATGCTGATACTGCTTTCAGTGCAGGGCAGACATTCCTAGCACATGTGGTTTGTGTATCCTTGTCTGAGTGGGTGGTCTAGAAAATGGTGCAAAATGCCACAGGAGGGCTTAGTTTTTGAGTGGTGCAGAGGAAACATTCACGATAGGCTCAGCCAGCATCATGCAGGCTATCCAAGATGAAGCAGTTTTCTTTCAGCTTTCATGAGCAGCTAAATTTTTACACTTTGCCTATTCGGCTAAATATTTTAATTCTTTTTTTGCAACGCTGTTATTCCCCCACTGTAAGTTTCATGCTTGGTAGGCACGTAGTTAGGTTTGGGGTGGAGTTATTGTGATGTGGTTGTTACTTTATTTGGGAAGGACATAAGAAGACAAGTGGAAAGTGGAAAGTGCCACCCCTACCTGGTTTTCAGATACAACAGAAACCTTTAATCACCAGCCTTTAAACCTGACCACCCAACAATTTTTTTACTCATGTAGCTATCTCCCCACCCAGACCTGATGTCTGAATATGAAAATACCATGGCAGAATCTGTTGAAACTGTTACTAAAATTGAAGTAAATGACATCCACTGCTCTCTGTTTTACTCTTGATAAACACATGATGTCTGCTACTTGCCACAACCACCAACTTCATGTGCCTGAAAGAAATTTCCAAGAGGATTAATTCACTACATGAATTTCCCAGGGACTGAGAAGAGGATAACTGGCTTGTAGTTCACCAGATCACCCTTCTTTTCTGTTTCTAGGGAATGGGTACCACATTTGCCTTTCTGTAGTCATCACCTGTACAAGATGTTAGGCAGTAGCTGTCCTGAGGTATCATGCAGCTTGCTTAGTACCTTTGGATTTTCCTTTCAGGTCCTGTGCACCCATGGGGGACAGGATTTCTCAAGAGATATTAGAAATCCTCATCTCCCATTTCCTCCTTTCTTCCTTGAACTCTGTCCCTAGACGCAGAGGCTTGGGAGACCATATCAGCAAAGGCCAAGGTGAAGAAGACACTGGCCATCCCACAGCCTTATCCACGGTCATCTGGATAATTAGGAGTGGGACAGTTATCAGACCATAAATCTTGATCATGTAGTCTGACCTGTGACTGCTGTGCAGTTTAGAGTAGGAAAAGCATCCATCATCCAGTCTGGGCAATTTCTTCTCTTGAATGGGGATGCCAAGTAACTAGTTACAAGGATATTCTGACTCTTCCTATTGTCAGAGCAGCACAAAGTGTCTGGAAGAGAGCTGAGGATGCATTCTTTATCGGAAAAAAATAAACAGAAATTACTTACTGAGTTTCAGTGGGTTTTTTTCCCCCCCACTCTGACTCAAGACAAGTGCCAGAAAACTAGGCTATGAAAATCCTTTTAAATGAAATAACAAGGAAAAAACACGATATATAAACTTAAACTGATTATCAAATGCAAAGTTTTTTTAGCAATGAATTTAGTGTAACATAAAGGGTTAGAGAGAACTGTGGTCTTCTTTGAACTTTCCCTTGAGGACTTAGAAGAGGTTGCAAATAAAAGCTCTGGACAATATTTTTCCTATGTTAGGAGGTTCTCCTAACAGCAAGAATCTTTGCCTTAGTGACTTCTTTTACCATAAAAGGTGAAATGTAAAACTGGAGTAAAGCTATAGAAAGACTTGAAGTAATCCAGGCTGATGATATGATAAGTAGGAATCTTAAAACCCAACAGAAGTATCTGTTTGGCTCCAGGTGATCTGGTGAATGAGTTTTTGTGTCCAAAATGTCATTAGTGGTCATTTATGTTAACTATCTCCACAATATATTCTGAATTTCTCCTTGTGGTTGTTCACAACTGTGTGTAGCTGAAATGTCTGAATGACATTTGGTTTTAATGCTACATGACAGAATGCTGTCATGAGAATGCTACATGACAGAAAATTGTCCCTGATTCTCTGTCCCTAAAATCAGTGACCTTCATTTTAATGTCCTGTTTGGGCTATTCAAACTATATACTTTTAGTTACATTAGTACCAAACTGAGTCAGACCCCATTTTTCCTTTGGTACCTGCAGGGCATGGTTTTCTTTTTCCTTTAACTGCAACTTCAGCTTCTAATTTAACTGTCTGTTCTATGCTTAATCTAGGTATGTAAAGTATATAATACAGTATGGATATGTTTTCTCCTTTTTTTCCACTTTGACATTTGTTCCTCCTATGAAAGTACATTGTCAGGGATCACAGAATATCTTGACTTGAAAGAGACTCATAAGGATCATCAAATGCAACACCTTGCTCCTTGCAGGACCACCTAACGCTAAACCACATGATGAAGGGCATTGTCCAGATGCTCCTTGAGCTCTGATAGGCTTTGTGCTGTGACCATTTCCCTTAGGAGCCTGTTCCAGTGCCCAACCATCCTGTTGGTGAAGAACCATTTCCTAATGTTCAATCTGAATTTCCCCTGATTCAGCTTCAATTCCAATTCCATGTGTCTTAGAGTTGGTCTTCAGAAAGAGGAGATAAATATGGTCCAGAATGGTTCTGAATGTCTGTAAAAGCTTGTCCAAATTTGACCTCTAAACTTCAGTGGAAACCAGAATGAATATAAACCACTTAGAAAGAACTCAGTTGCCACTGTATCTCAAAATTGACCAGGGGAAAACATCTTGTCCTCAAGCACTGAAAACTCAACTGAAATGTGTTCTAAATTAAGGAGTTATAGATGTCTAGTTTTCTTTAAATTGAAAGAAGACAAGAAAAGGGACCATTAGAAAATCAGTGAAACATTTAATACATGCTGCTCAAATATGAGGCTGATCAGAGAGAACAGAATAAATAGGTAAGATCCCCATTTGCAGTGTTGGTGCAGTGTAAAGGGTACAGGTACATACAAGAAAAAGAGGTGGAAGATGCTTTGTTTGAGGGTGTGAATAGTTGTGACACCAAAGTTGAAAACTGATTAATAAAGCCTTCTTGAAGTCACTGGCTTTTCCTCCTGGAGGGAAAGGAGGCACATGACATGCCCTCATCAAGGAGCTATGAAAAGAACAGAGAATACTTGTCTCCACAACTGTCCTGCCTGCAGGCAAACAGGCTGAGAGGAAAGGTACTATGTGTCTACTAACAGGAAGGAGGGAATGAGCTCTGATGCTTCTAATTACTTTCAATGGGAATACCATAAGAAATCATTAGGGGTGAAGACGGTTAGAGACAGTCAAGAATGCAGGGTGTTGACATATATGCAACTTGAGGTGAGGGAGGATGGGGCATTAACATTAGTGTTAGAATTTACTTTCATTAGAAGAAAAAAATCAAAGGGCTGGTGTGGATGATAGTATGTTAATTTACTAGTGGGAAG